TATCAGGGGGAGCATGATTCATGGCTGAGGGGTTGTACCTTTATAATAGATGGGTTTTCAGAAGTGGCGAGTAAACCTAAGACAAAGGCCCAGCAGTTTGACCCGTAAGTTTGAAATATGCAAAAGAGCTCAAGCTCCTGATAAATGGCAGTGGGCCCATCACCACAAGCCCACCCCAACAATTAACAGGCTTGGCGCTCGGCTGCCAGAAAGCAAACTATGATTTATTGTTCTCTTTAAATTAATAAAAGCAAGGCCGTCCATTGTGGATTCCAGTATGTATCCATGTGAGAAAGAGCTGATGTTTCAAAATGGCCATGTGAACAGGTTATACTTCTGAAACCACATTCTTTTAACCTTAATTCACCACCACGAGGGAAGCCTCTGCTTTCACCCAGGTTATCTAGTGTATAGCCAAAACCTGCACAAGGGATATTTCTGTACTCTATTAATTCAAGTCCACTTAAAACGTCTCAAGATAGAGCATCTACAGAAAGACAAACAGGATCTCTCCAAGTCTCTCCTTTTACAAATGAGAAAACTGAGGCCAGAGGCCAAAGCACCTGGCCCAAACTCCCCCTGCAAAGGCAGCAACCCTGCTGGACAAAAACTGAGGTTTCCTAATCACCAGCCACCAATCTGAGATCAGAAGCCATTCTGGCCATAGATGAGTTCAGTTTGTTTGTTTAACCTTTAATTAAAAGCTTAAACATTGTAAGGTTTGGCACACCATTCCAGATTCCTGGCTTCTCTTGAAAATCCTGGCTATGTGGCCATCATGGGTCCAAATTCCTGCCTGGCCTCACTCTGCAGGGCTGGGGAGTAGCTGCCCATGGCAAATGGGCATGTGGTGCTACAGCCCCCCCAAAAAAACCCCTTTCTTTGTTGCCAATGGTCCTGGAGACCTTGGAATTGGTGTCTTTCCTCTGCATTATACTCAGCTGAGGCTAAAAAATATATGATATATATATATTTTTTTTTTACCTCATATGCATGTAATACATATGATACACACATGTATGTATGTATTGTAGAAAAGTGGCTATTTAAAATCTGAAGATACATATAGGAATATTTTAATGATGTCTTGATGAGCATATTTGCCAACTTTAAGGAGAGCAGATGTAAGTCATGGGCACAAGACCCTTTTGAGGCAAAACGAGCAGAAAGTGGGCACTCAGCAGAGGTGAGCTGGCTGGGAATGGGGCTACCCGTTCCCACCGCCTGAGAGCGCAGAGACTCACGAAGCAAGGCAGTCAGAGCCTCCCACTCAGCACTCAGCCCTGGTCCTGATTTGTGCTTCTCATGTACTGTTTTTTTGCATTTTCACAGCAACCAGAGTGGTCATTTTTAAATGTGAATAAGATCATGCCATTCTCCTGCTTAAAACTCATCTCCGACTCCCTTTCTCTCAGCCCCCCAGATGCCTGCCCTGTTCTCCTTGTTCATTTCACACAACTTTCTCCTTCACTCGCGAGCTCCAGACACACCCCAGGCTTTCTTCTGAGCTTGGAACATCAGGTGTTCCTACCTCGTAAATCCTTCTGTCCTTCACCAAGATACTTCAATAACTGGCCCTACTTGTCATTCTCTGGCCACTCCTCCTGCAGTGGCCCTGGTAGCCACTAGCACATCACCCTGAGATATTTTCTTCATTCATCCCTGTTTGAATTTATCACGTTTATTTGTAAACTTGGCTACAGAATGCCCCTCAAGCTAGACTATAAGTTTTCTGAAAACAGGACCCTGTGCTGTCTTATTCACTTATTCTCAAGGTCTAGAAAGTGCCCTGCACATATGTACCAGCTGCAGAATAAACACGTCATGCCCTGTGTTTGAGGGGTATCGCAAATTACTGGAGCCGGAAGAAAAATCTCTCCATTAACAAGATCCTGGCTCCAGACGAGAACAGGGGAGGAGGAAAGGTTATGCCTCCCTGGGCTGAGAGTCTTTAAGGGACTTCAGCTGCCAGTGCAGGGAGGATTAACTAAATGGTGAAATCTTTATACTACGCCCACTTACGCTTTAAAATGCTCTGCTGAGTGGTACTGCTGTGATTTCCAAGCGGCTTGCTCAGTTTCTGTTCGATTTCAGAATCAAGGTTGAGGCAACGGATGAGCATTCAAAAGGTGCTTCAGTAACTTCAAATGAGGCGTGCATGTGTGTCTGTGTGGTCCTGACTTCATCATTAGTAAACGATTGGCATTAAAGTGCTCTAAAACTCAAGACTCTAGACACGCATGCACATACAGAATTTTCAATTGCATTTGAAGTTGTGAAGAGCAATTCTATGGCACTTTGGAATTCCTGAGAGCCACCTAAGGTCTCTGTGGACAACAGGGAATGTAGGTCAATTAAGGCTCCTTGAAAACATGGCCCCGTGGCCCCGGAACTCGTATGTAGAAAGGCCCAGCTGCAGGCCTGCTGGTCCTTGACCATCCTCAGACTCTGTGGTCTCAACGTCACAGCAAGTGGCATTTACAGATGAAAGAATAGAAAAAGCTATAAAATGGCATGAGAGCAGGGTAGAAGCACACTCTCATGTGCACATGCCACAGATACAGCAGAGCAAAACCCAGCAGTAACTGCTGTGCTGTCACCTACTATAACAAGATTGATCTGTAGTGAAATATAAGATAATGCAATCCAGAGGAAATAACTTCTGTTTCCTCTGAGAACGTCTGATGTTGTCAGCTGCAAGCCTGCTTCCCTCTTCTGCCTGCCACAGTGCACAGCAGCCCAAATAAGCAGGGACTCCACTGGGCAGAGTCCTCCCTCCCTCACCGCCAGAAGCACACATTTATCAAGCAGTGTTTCCCCCAACTGCCCGTGACTCCTTGGCCACGTCAAAGCAAGCAGGGCCTGGATGCCCATGGCGTGTCCAGGAAGGCAGGGCCACTCAATGTTGCTATTGTGTGCATGGGCCTCAGACAACGCAGTGGCATCTGTTCATTTGAAGCTAAGTCGTTTTCTGCTTGTGGATTTCTAGCACAATTCATCATCCCCATATTTCAACTTAATGGTACAATTCTGGCCCTGAGTTTCAACCACAGAAGACCTTGTGGAGATCACGGTTTTAGACTCCACCTGTAAGACACAGAGCTGATGTGACTGTCACTGGCTGAACATTTTACGGAGCAATATTTCCATCAACAGGATGGCCAGAAACAAAGGTAAGGAGGGGGTACCAGCAGGCGAGCTCTTTGCCATTATTTTAGAGAATGTCTCCATATGAAATGGTCCAATACGGCCCCAGCCGTGTAAATAATTCACAAAAGCAAGTTCAGTTCCTTCCCTTTGAAATCCGAGTAATACCTTATAAAGGAGCTGCTGCCCACCGACACACAGAGCAATGGGTAGCTAGCAGCTTCCATCTCTGGCAGTTGTTATGAAGTCTCCATAGCCGGTGATTTGTAGATGATTATAACTTTTGCTCTGCATATCATTGTTACTGGCAGGCAAATCCCATCAATCGAATGGCATGACTGATTAATAAAGAAGGCAAACTTGACAGAGGCAGTCTGGTAAGCCATTTTTTTTTTCTGCCAATTACAACCACCATGAACGCTCACCATTGTGTATAGAAAAGCCAGATCTGACACCGGCCTGTCCTCTCCCCATTCTCCAGGAGCCTCAACACACATGTTCTAGAAAGCCTTTCCAAACTCAAATGTTCCGTGTTTCAAGAGGAAAAACGCAATCCGGCGTGGGGTTGCTTACATTCTAGTTCACAGGAAAAAAATGATCTGCCCAGAGCGCCCCACTGACCCCCCAGTTTGTCAAGGAAGAAAACTCACTACAGCCACGGGCCCTGACAGCAGCACTTTCATTACACGCACAGTCACGACACCTTTTCAATTCTGCTCATCTCTAGTCTCTAGCCAAATGGAACTTATTACTTACAGCTTGTTGGGATTTATGAATTATTTATCAAAGTAAGTCTATGACTCCAGACTCTTAAAAGACAATACAACAGCACCCTCATTGTTATCCACAACTGCACGTCTATCAGAGAAAGCAGATATTCTCCATAACACACGCTGCATGTTTGGGGTGAAATAACAGTTGTGAAAATACCAAGCCTGTAAGATTATTTGGAAGCTATTTATGGAATGCCTGGGTATATTTTTAAACCAGTCTCTTTTATTCGAAGCCAGCCTCAGATTCCAGAAAGACACAGCAGATGTGTGCTACCAACATATTTCCCAGCTTGACTACAAACAGTGATACCCTGCTACTTTTACCCAGTAGTGTCAAGCTGTGATTAAAAAGGCAATTCCCCCTTGACGTATATCCAGAAGGTTCGAGGAGGCCATGATCCATGAGTCTCCTGCCGCACCCCAGAGCACAATGGCTCTGCATCCTAAGTGGGGATTAAAACATGGGCCAGTGTGGGGTTAGGATTTCACCTCCAGCTCCTCAGAGCACATGACCTTGCCCAGTAAAACAGACGACACTGCACACCCTCACCTGGGTGACACTATCTCAGTCACAGACCCAATTGGTGAGGTTGAAAGGCATGAGGTGGCCAGCCAGCCATGGCCTTGCCACATCTCTACAACAGTGGCGTGTTTGCTTGGCAAAGAAATCTCCACTGGCTCTGGTACAGGGAGCAGCAGCTGACCCAGAGATGCAGGAGCCCCAACGGACAGGGGCCTTCCCCCAGACTCCCCTCCAGAATCTCAGTCCTCACCACGCCCACAGCATCCCTCCCTCTTTCCAGGGCCCAGCCACAGACCCCTCTCCAAGTGTCCCTGCCCAGCTGTCCAGTCTACATCCTACCCCAAAGCATGGTTTAGAGGAAGAAGCAGAGGTTGGACAGCAGAGGCCCAGGGAGGCTGATGGCACTTTAAGCCACTGTCCTCATGGTGTCCCTGAGGTCCCACATGACGTGTCCATAGAGGATGAGAAGTCCTATAACGCTCTGCACACAGACCATACCCATATTCCCCAAAGAGCACACAGCCAGTGAAAACGCAGGCAGGAAACAGCGAACTTACCTTGCTGAAAAACATCTGCCAAGAGAGAAGAAAAATAGGGGAGGGGAGAGGGGAGAAAGAGAGGAGAAAAAATATTAATAACAATGTTGAAAGTCACAGTATGATGATAACATACGCTGACTTTGCTAAGCACTCTATGCATATTTCCTTTAATTCAGGAGGCAGTGCTTAAGAGCTCAAGCTCTGGAATGAGGCTGCTTGCATTTCAGTCCTGGCCTCACACTTACTAACTCTGTGACTTACAGTTCCCTAAACCACAAAATAGATCTAAGTATGGGAAAAATTAAACAAATGATGACATACATTTTAAGAGCTTAGACCCGTGCCCAGTACATAGTAAACACAGAAAAATCAGCAGCTATTATTTATATTGATATTACTTTCACAACAATCTTATAAATTGTTTTATTATAGTTCTCATTTTATAGATGGGGAAACTGAGGCTCCAGAAAGTTAAGTAACTCATTCAACACCATAGAGGAACAAGCATGGTCAAAGTCTGTTAGAAAAGTTAAAAAAAAATTAATGTATTTTTTCCAGCAAATATTGAGAGGCTACCAAATACCCTAAATGCCAATTACACTGACACCAGGAAACACAAATCTAGGGCCAGGCATGGTGGCTCACACCTATAATCCCAGCACTGTGAGAGGCTGAGGCAGGAGGGTCACCTGAGGTCAGGAGTTCGAGATCAGTATGGCCAACATGGTGAAACCCCGTCTCTACTAAAAATACAAAAATTAGCCAGGCATGGTGGTGGGTGCGTGTGCCCAACTGGAGTGAAAACTGCCACCATAGATCTTCTCTTCTTGCAGGCTGTTAACCTACAAGGTGCGTGTCTCAGCCACACCACTGATGGACCCCTGGTTCTATGGTGGCAGCTACTCGGGAGGCTGAGGCAGGAGAATCACTTGAACCCGGGAGGCGGAGGTTGCAGTGAGCCGAGATCACGCCATTGCACTCCAGCCTGGGCAACAAGAGCGAAATTCCATCTCAACACACACACACGCACACACACACACACTCTAGTTAAAAAAATAAACAAGCAGTCACTAACTACCACCCCACCAGAAATTCAATGGCCTGGTTTTGAATTTTATGTAAATGGACTGATACAACATGAATTCTTTTCTTGGCTTCTTTCGTGGTAGCTCATTCATTCTCACTGCCATGTGGTATTTCACTGTGGGGTTATACTACAGTTTATTTCTCCACTCGACTATTGGTAGATATTGGGTTGTTCTCAACATTTGGAAATTAGGAATTGTGATGAACATTTCCGTACATATCTTTTGATAAACATATGTACAAATGCCAAGTACTTTTTGACATCTCCCACGTGGATTCAGATTCACCCTGCTTATACCACCTCCCACTCACTCCAAAAGTACTCTCATTTGCTCATGCTTTCTCACTCAGTAACTTAAAGACAAAAGAACACCAGCAGAGATACAGACAGCACCACTCAGACATGAGCCGGTTCCTGCTCTGATGGTAGGACTATAAAAAGGAATGAAACTTCTAGAAGATAGTTTGACAGTATATTAAAAAAAGATTAAATATGCACTCCTTGGCCCACCAATACCACTCCTAGGACTTTAATCTAATGAAATAACAAAATATATAAAAGAAATCTACATGAATGTTCCTCATGACATTGTTTATACTGGCAAGACACTGGATATTGCCTGATTGTCTGGCAATAAGGAATCAAGCCAAATATAATATATCTCACACAATGGATTATTGTGCAGCTCTTTTAAATGGCTATTTAAAGACCTTGATTATTTTGAATGAAAATATTAGATAGCAAAATGGCACATATAATCCTGAGCCCATTTATGTACCTGTATGAAGAGAAATCTGTCACAATGGTCACAGAAATATTGATTATTTTCAGGAGATGGAATTTAGGGTCACCTTTTTTACATTTTATGCAAGCATTTCTGTATTAATTTTTAGCAATGAACATGCCTTACATTTACAACCGAAATTTTAAAGCTAACGTTATTTTCATCTTAAAAATTAAGTAGGAACTATATATCATCAACATCTAATTTTGCTCTGTCATTACCAGAAACATCAGCTCCTACATAGTCACAAAGAACCAAGGGTCCACCAGTGGTGTGGCTGAGACACGCACCTTGTAGGTTAACAGCCTGCAAGAAGAGAAGATCTATGGTGGCAGTTTCCACTCCAGTTGGGCACACGTGACCCCACAGGGGAGTTGTTCATACTCCCAAGGGTACACTGAGGCCAGTGGTTGTGGTGCAGGTAAAACAGATTGCAGGCTCGTAATTCCCAGGGAATTGGCAAAAACACCGCCATTTCTTTTACACTCAACAAAGCCAACTGGGATTTAAATGGCTCCTATCAGTGCCACTACAGGAAACCTTGACTCTGCTCTAATTGATACACACTATACAGTAGTCTCTAACCTCAGTAATTCATCATTAGTACAAATTCTGATCCAGCAGTGTGTGGGATGCCACTGCCCAGAGACTGTGAGAATCATGTGCAGCTCCCTAAATATACCACTTTCACATGCACTTGCTTCCTGGAACCCATAGTCTGCACCACCCACCCTCTGACCAGCCAGCACACCTGGAGGAGCCCTCCTACTCAGCCTTCAAATGTCACAGCCACTGTGAAGTCTATTCCCACAGAGAGGGAATTCACTGTTTCCGCTTCTGTGCCCCTGGAGTAATTTGTGCATGTTGCAATTATAGCTCTTATTATAATGAGTTATTTATATAGACCATGAGCTCCTGAGGACAAGAGCAATGTCTCTTAAACACCTTTGTGGATCCCACCTGCCTGGGCATGGCAAGCTCCCACCTACGAGGGAGGGAAAGAGGGCTGGTCTGTCTTAGCACTCATCTGATCCAACCTCCTTTTACAGATGAGGAAACTGAGTCCCAGACAATTCAGAGATTTTTCTCCAGATCACACATGGAGTTAAAGGCTGAGCTAGGACTACATGAGATTCATTTAACCTTAATGAAGCACAAAAGCTCATGACTATTATTAGCAAAGTACAAACTAGAGATTTATCATTCCCCTCTAATGAATACAGACAAAAATTTCCAACCCTGAAAACATTAGTGAAATAAGATTAGTGTTTGAAATACGGATTCAGTCTCGACATCCGTCCAGAATCCTCAACCTCCTCTGCATGGTTTTGACAAGGAGCACTTCCTTCAAAATTCAGTGCTGATCTGAATTACTGAAAAGTATCAGTGGACAGGGAGGATGGAAATTCAGGGAGGGATTTAGTGACCTTATTCTGTCCAATTCCATTGTATATTTCACGCTTTAGCAGACAAATATACATGGAGTAACTATTCATATCTTCTATTCTAAAAACTCACAGTAGCTATTTTAGATTTTTCCAAAAACTCTTTTTCAGCTTTGTTTACATTTTGCACTGTTTTATTCAACTGTAAATTTTAATAAACATTAGTATGAATATTGCAACAATTTTGCACATGAATTATCTTGGAACTTAACATTCGAAGTTTATGTCTTTCGTTGTCTGAGGTATAAATCATTCCATTCTTATTATTGATCTTTTTGGTCTAATAATGGTTTGGGTACCTTCTTTAAAATTTCACTTTTCCAGAATGAAATGGCAATCCTGGCTCACGCACACATGATTCATGGGCAGACAAACGGGAAATAAAGGAGAAGGTGGTGATTTTTGTGCTGTTAGCTACATTTTAACTTCCTCTCCCAAACTGTGGATGTCAAAGGATATCAGCCATTGAAATATTCTTACCATTCGCTACACTGGTGTTCCTGTCCACCACTCCCATCTCCTAAACTATAGGGAGTAGTCACTTACAAAAACCAAAAGGCCTCGAATTTGAGCGTGATATTCTTCTTTCAATCTAACCAACCACAAAGTCAGCAGTCCATCCATTACACTTGCTGAGCGCGAGTTTCCTTGTTGAAAACCCAGGCATATTCTAATACCCCTATCGTGGTGGTGAGAAGGTAAAGTTAGATATACAACAAATGTTTTCCCATTCCATCCGTTGCTGTGGGGAATTACTCTGAGAATAAGACTCAGGACCATCTTTTCTGCTGTTGCAGGAGTTGGAAATCACGCCAGTATGGAGTGGGGAATTGCCACGGCTGCTCTAGCCAGAATCAGGTTGAGCCCAAAGGACACCAGGGACACTGGTACAGAGGAAATGAACTCCTTCAGACAAAGCTCTGCTCTTACTCACTTCCCAAGGGAGAAAACCCCAACCCCAATCATTCACATGGACAAAGGAAAGCCTGTTCTTCCGCCTGCCCCGCCTCCCCAGCCCCACTGGCCCCTGGAGCCATTCTGGTCCTATAGATAGATGAAAGGGTGTGTATAAGTTGGTGATTCAGATGTGGGAGGAAGAAAATAAGAAGGAAGGAACTCAGATTGCCTTTCTTAGCCCTGCTGTCCAATGTCTTCAGTTAGGAATGAGCATCAAGGATACTTGCCCCTTCCCCCACAGCTACTAAGAGATTCACACCCTAGAGATCTTTAATGCACGGAGTCCTCCAGAGACAGGGGCCATAAAAAGACGCGATTATTTATTATTATTAATAAGTTATGGCAATTAGGCTGGGTGATTCCTAAATGTTGCTGATTAAAACTTTCTTGAGTGCTACTCATCCACATGACTAGTGTTTACCTCGATTAAAAATGACTTAACTACACTCCGGGTGAACCCCTCTCTTGCGCCTGGGTTAACAATTAGCAGTGCACAGAGCCATGCAGGTTAAGTGAGTTGGCTCTGCTTTATTTATCTATTGCTTTGTTTTATGAGGAGAACTGGATGGCAGTCTTATTGCCCATTCAGTCTGCCAGGAATAATTTACTATTTCAATCCATAGTCCATAACTATGGTTAGAGAAACTCTCACTATTATTACAATATCACACTTAGCCCACACCCCACAGTATTAAAGGTATGGCAAACAGTGAAACCGAGCATGACTTCCATAAAACTGGGGGAGGTAAAGTTACTAGTT